TGTGCAGATGTAGCCCTCGTCTGCAGCTCTTTTCTGCTCTGATTCAGGCTCGCATCAGGTGCTCCCGTTCTCATTGCTTGTGATTTCTTGCCTTTGCGGACAAACCGTGTGGAGCAGCCTGCTGTGTCCATGCCCTGCCTATGCGTGAGGCCAGAAGGGACAAGGAGCTTTGCATTCCTTTAAATTCCTCTTTTAAGATGCTCATGTAGAGGACACCAGTGCTTGTTGGCTGAAGACACCCATTTGATAGTCCGCTCCACTCACCATTTCCAGACACCAGACTTCTTCATGTCCTCAGTCTCCTTTAATAAATTAGTTTGCAGTTCTTTAAATCAGTACATGACAGGCGCTGAGGTTATTGAACATGTTAATATATTAAATGCATTACCCCCGCAGCCCTTAAAGGCAAGGTTATGGCTGCACAGTTTATTGTTATTACTGCTCGAGCAGACTCAGCGCTCTGCTAAGCCTCCTCTGGAAACTCCGGAGCAGCTCCAACTGGCTGGGAGCTCTGGCAGAATTAAGGGCCGTTCCAGCAGGCACATTGATATATAGGTTTGCAAAATATCCCTGCACCCTGTGCGCGCTGGGGAGAGGATCCGAGCGGATCCTGAGGAGCCGCTTCTGGAACGTGCCCGCATCCCCTGCTTCCCGAGGGGTTTCGTGGGGCTGAGATGCAGGGCGGGAATTCCGTTATCCTCAGGAATTCGCCGCGTGCTCCCTTGCATAACGTGGCGCGAGACGTGGCGCTGGGAGCAGCGCTCGGCCCTGCACTCCGGGCGCAAGAAGAAAACTGGAGGAAAAGGGCTCTTTAACTTAGCAGGGAAAGGTAGAACAGGAATGAGGGCTGGAAGTCAAAGACTGGCAATTTCAAATGAAATATTAGCTGTTTTTTTTTTTTTTCATACAGTGCAGCTATTAAGCCTTAGAACAAGCCTCAGTGGGAAATGTGCTAATTCTCTGTATTTTGAAATCTGGAAATCCAGGCTGGGCACCTTTCTGGAAAATTAGTTTTGGTCTAACACAAGCTGATGGGCTTAATCCAGAAGATGGTTAATTTTTTATAGCCTGTGTCAAATCAGGCAAACAGACTAGATGTTCAAAGTCTCTCCTTTAATCTTAAAGTCAATAAGTATATAATAGTAAAACTTAAGCAATGCTTTAATAGAAGAATATGAAAATAACTAAGTCCGGGAAAGCCATAAAGATTTGTATTGTAATGTCACCTTGGACCATGCAATTGGTTGCTTGCTGGTTTTTTTTCTTGTTGCTGTTGCTAAATCGTTTGCTTTTAATAGGAGAAATAGCAAATATGGTATAGATCCAGTATGGGCAAGATAATTGTTCCAGGAACTTAACTTTTTCAATCCCTGCTTTTCATTTTACCTCTGCAACCCTTAAATTACAGTAACCAGATATTCTGAGAAATTAATTTTCCTCTTGTAATTTAAATAGGCAACTGCTTCTAGCCCCTATTAAGTGGCTTTAAATGCTTGTGGGACACTAGAGTTTTAGGATTCTCAAAACAACATGAGTATATAAGCTGCTATAAGACCTGAAGAGCTTAAGCAGTCAATAATACACGGCTATACGCAGGCACAGCGAGAGAACGTCTCGGAGCTGTTACTGCATGTCCTGCTCTGATGGGTAGCAGTAACTGGGAGGGTTTCACCGTTTCCAGTCATTCCTGAGCGTGTGCACATATAGCCAATATATTTAAAATCTGGGAACTTTCTGGTGAATAATCTTCAGTAAGAGCTTACCTGCCCAGAATTCAGTATAGGTCTTATACTACTTCAATCCAGCCTATCTGCCTGCTAGTGTCTTGCTCCTCCATATATATTTTTGCACTGTTTCCAAGGAAGCAATGTTTTTTTTGGTCTGTTTTGTTTTGCATTTTTTTTAATGCAGAAGCCAAGTCTGTAAAGCAACAAGTTCCTCTGAGTCCTTCCTGCCAGGATTCATATTCAGTTTTATTTAGGCAAAGTAGTGTTGATTTCGCTGGAATTGTGCTGAAGAACTTGAGCATTTAATCCAGCCAACATTAATTAAGAGGTCTAAATCCACAAACTGTAAGAAGAACCTTAAGAAGATAAATGTCATTGTCCTCCAAATTGCTGTCCATCTGATAACTCAGATTTTCAGCTGATGTAAGTAAGCCCTGAGTTCTTCCTTGAAATGATGTAAACTTGCATCACATGAGATTCAGCTCCACTGGGTCTGCCATTTCTGACAGGATAGTGGCATTCCCATTTTTTTAAGCTCTGTGAAGCAAGCACACTTCTGCCCTGTGTCCATGCAGGGAACCAGGCATGGATATACTGCAGTTTTTGTGTGCACCAAAGGGATTTGCACCTATAGAGCTGCAGGTGCATCATGTTCATCGGCATGAGTGGATAATGCCTTATCTAACCAAACAAGGGTGAAAAATGGAGTACAAGCAGAAAGAAAGTAAGGCTTGCTATGAATTGCCTCTGATATTTGGCATCAGCTCACTCATACAGAAGTTTTTTGAGTTGCCTCTGCGGTGCCCACCAGCTCGTGTCTGTTCAGGCAGGCTGGATGGGGAAGGAAGAGAAGAAACAGTGGTGTTGCTTTGTGCAAGGACAATTACGTAGAGTAAAAATATATATATATATTTATGTATTTCAAGAGATGACACTGATAGCTTCTGACAGAACTTGTCGAGCCAAATCTTTGCTCAAGGTGAAACTAAGTCGAAAGCAGAGGTAAAATTAAGCGATGGACTGCGAGCTGCAGGCTGTTGAAGCAGCCATCTGAGGCTCTGTGTCTGCCCTGGTCCTGCAATAGCAGAAAGAAGAGGGTCTCTTCAGCACAAACCGCCCCAGAGCTCCGGCAGCATCTTCATTGAGGGCAGGGGAGGACTTCTGTGGAGACCCAGCCTTGAGACGAAGCGGCCAAAGCTGAACACCGAGTGTCTCTGAGGACAAGAGTCCTTCCCTTGAGTATGGGGTGGCTGCTGTCTTGCCCCAAATGCATGATTGCATTTAACAGCCCCTTGACTAATTAGCATCAGATTTTCTGATTGAACCGAAGCATGTACCACAGCGAATGGGTGTGTTTGTTTTGGGATGGGGTGGCACCAAAAGGCTCAGGGGACCTCCCGTCACCACTCATCCCGCCATGGGGTTTGCAGATGGATTCCCGTGGCACCATGGAACACAAATAAACCCTGCTCACACCGGGCATTTCTGTAGGTTGGTTTGCTGTGTGTATCATCCGTACTGCGTATCCAAGTTGGGGGTTTTGCTGTGGGAACTGAGCAAAGCTGGGTCATCTTTGTCAGTTAGGTGCCATGTACCATGATGGACAGTAGCAGCAAGGCTTGGTTTCATCAGACTGAGTCAGTTCCTCTTGTAGGTCCAGAATTAAATGCCAGTTCTAAAAGACTGCAAACTGAACTTTTTGATAAAACACGCTTTTTTTCCCCTTTCTTCTCTCTCTCTTTTTTTTTTTTTTTTTGTCAATGCTGGTTCACTAGAACTAAAGCAGCCCATATAAGAACATACTTTTGTCAGACTATGTTACTTTGCGTTCACAGCAGAGTGGTCTGAATTGGAACAAGAACCTGAGTCAAGCTGGCCCCATCCTCCTGTTCAAGTGTCTAACCACGAGGCTAAGGGTATTTAGACATGAAATTTAAAAATAATAAATCTCCCCTACTGAAGCTGCTACCCTGGCTAAAAAAATATTAAATATCCATTGGAGCAAGGACTTGAATCCACATGTGCCACATCCTAGAAGGCTGCCAGATACACAAGGGTGTATAGTCAACCTTTGTCTCTCTTGCTTGGTCTTTCCTGTTGGAGCCGTTCCATTTTGTATAAAATGGGCTAAATAAATAATTCATGGGCTAAAGAGAGACTAACGTGGTACCTAGATGGTTATGGCACTCTTCTGAGCTGTGAGGGCATCACGGGTAATTCTCTGCTCCAATGAATAGTTGTTTATTTATTTATACTAACTGAAGCAGCAGTGGGAGAGATTGATAGAGGCCCTCTATGCTCCCACCCAGCTCAGGGACCAGGGGACTCTCTGGATTGCAGGAGTTCAGATGAGGGACCTCAGTCCCTAGCTGAAGCTTATAATGAAGTGTGAAAATACTTTTTTTTTTCCTCAAATTTTTGTGAGAAAAACAAGCCTCATGTTCAGTGCTACTTGCAAGTGGTAGCTGACAGAAAGGCTGATTCCACATCATATTGAATTCACCGCAGTGAATGTGGGGTGCCTGGCTAGCTGCTGGGTTATTCTTCCAGCCATTGGAAGGAGTTTTAGCAAGGGCCCAGATTTCTTCTTATTAAGAGTCAACTCATCCCATAGAGAGGTGTCAGAGAGGAAAGGGGAAGATGAGGGAAAAAAGGGACTATTTTTCCCCTTTATTTCTCCTAGGCGTCTTTCTCTCTTCTCTTCTCACCTACCTGTATTCCCCCCCACACTCCAAAGCTTCCCTTATCTATAATAGGGTTAATGACTGCTTAATTAGCCTACCCGCAATTTGGGAGTTAGAAGAATTAAAGAGATTAGAGCCAGCTAGTCCCTCTGAGGCCAGCAAGCCCACAGGTTGTCACATCACACTGTCTCATGCAATAACGAATATCCGAATGTCCCAGACCGCAACCATTCCCCCTTGCAGGGCCCGCTCCTCCCATCCCAGCCCCAAGGACTCCTCATTAGCCTCCAGCACATTTCCTTAGATCCTGGTGCGTAGCGAGAATATCTGTGACTCCTCTTGTTCCAGGGAGCTGAGTCCTCTTGCCTGGATCTTCAGGACGTGCTGGGACATCCGAGCCCTCCTGCCATCCAAGCAGATGGAGTATGCTGCAGAGGTGCCCGTCTACATGGTCCCAGCTCCACATTCCCATATGCTTGAGTTAAACTAGCATTGGTTTAACCAACCAGCTCTGATTTAAAAACTTCCAAGGAGGAACATTTTTCCAGAAAAATGCTGATTTTTCAAGAATGCCCCACTCAAAGCTGTCAGCAGAACCAGGTGTGCAGTGGGCTGGTCCCCCACCAGCTCCCGGGGCTGCCCCCTGGCTCTCTGCAGCCTTCCTGGGCTTCCCCATTTCCTGGCCTTCCCTCTTAATGAGTTATTCCATCAGGAAATGGCATTTCCCAGCCAGCCCTGCTAATTACTTTTATCTCCAGTTGTATCCAACTGTTGAGGCAGAGGCCGACAAAGCCCAACTCAGCCTGGGCTGTTTCCTTCCCCCCGGTGCCCTCAGCTCCAACATTCCCTCTGGAATTACCCGTCTGCCCTCAGTCCCTGATGCTAAGGAGCTCCTCACATCCAGGCAGGTGACCTCTTGTGCTGGGCCTTGTTGGAGGTATTGCAAGAGTTGTCTTGAGGAGCTTGCCTTAATTCCCTGATTTCCCCCTCCTCCTCTGCCGCAGCGCCGCAGTCAGTGCAATCCAGGACTTTTCTGACATTCATCTCCTAGCTGCTGCTTTTCTTTTTCCGTTTGCATGACAGCCCTTTTCCCATGCCAGGGCCTCCTCTCTTCCTCTCCATTTCTGCAGCAAAGGAGTGAAAAGGAGGATTTAGCCTCCGGCCATGGGTTATCTGAAGATGGTGGATGGTGCCTTTGGGAGAGTCAGACGAAACCTCCTCCACTGAGTTCCGAGACAGATTGTTAGCTTGTTGCTGCCATGCTTGCAAAATTAGAAAAAAAAAAAAAAAAAGGAAAAGGAAAAGGAAAAAAAGCCATGTTAACCAAAATGTGCATTGTGTTTCCTTGCAGGGAATCTGACTAAGCATATGAAGTCAAAGGCCCACAGCAAAAAATGTCAGGAGATGGGCGTGTTGGTATCTTCACTGGTGGATCTGGAAGCCGAAGAAGGTAAAATTAAATGTTCTGCACCCTCCCATTGCTCCTGCCATGCCAGTGCACACTGGTTTTGTCTATCCCAGGCTCCTTCCAGCCCCCTGGACGGGGGTATCTGCTTGATTCGGTTATAGCGCTGTTCTGGGTGACTGTTACCGTGGGATGCAGAATTGGAGCCCTCTGCAAGGGCCTGTCTCTCTCATGACTGTAGAGACACCACAAAACTGAGACCCCTCCGCAAGATACCTCACGTGGGCCTGTGGATGCCCATTTGCTGCCACAGGTGCAATCTTTTGGGGCAAGTACTCTAGAGGCTCAATAATTTCTGCCCTGGTTTCTAGTATCTGTAGCTGAATTTCGCTAAAATCATCCCAAGAAGCAGATCTCTTCCTGGGAGGCTGGGTAGAAGCTGGCAGGAATGAGGCAACCGTGAAATCTTCTGCCTCTTGTCTTGGTTGTAAATGTTGAGGGAAAGAAGAAAGATCTCCAAACTAGGAGCTAAAGGAACATGGAGAAATCTAATGCATGCTTAACTGTTTGAGCTAGAAACAGATATTTTATCCAAATTATTGGAGCCTGCGCTCTGACAGCTGCAAAGGGTTAGGTTATGAGTCTCTTGGGAACAGTTAGATGTTTTTATGATTGTTATTCTGTTTCCTTTAGCAAGGCCCTGGATATTCTGGGCTGGAGCCTTAGGGCGGGGATGACTGGGAAGAAGCCTTAGGGGTAGCAGATCTCGAGTTATCATGAAATTTTGGGTCATTTGCATTCCATTTGGGAGGTCATTTGCATTTATAGAAAACATTTTACATACCACCTCTAGAGAGAAGAGAGGCTGTAAGAGGACAGGTCTGTCTCTGTCAAAGTAGTGTTTATTCCTGGATAAAATACTTGGTGCCACAGAGCACTGCAGTTCTCTGTTTGCAGCGTCCTATGGTCTGGGCATGACACTGTTGACCCCTCCTGGCTACCACCCCAGAAATCCCGGTATGAAAGCAGCTCTTGTGGCTGCATTTAGTGTTGTTCCTTCCCATTTCCCGTTCCGTTCCTCCGTCTCGCCCCAAACAATTTTGATTCCCCAGGGTTCATTTTGCCACAGCCCACAAGGGTTTGTTGACGATGGGTTAACATGAACTTCGCGAAACACATGGCACCATGGTTATTTTTATAAAGCGAGCATCATCCGAGCAAGTTCTGGAGTCGTCGCTGTGAGCCGGGGAACAGCAGACAGCACTTATCACCCCAGCCCCTTGCAGAGCTCAAGTCCATGAGGACTTTACTGGGAAAGGGGAAAGGACCATTCCCCAAAGGCCACCCTGGTTTGGAGGCAAAGAGGTGCAGGTACGGGCTCTTCTGCGTCAGTTGACTGCAGGGCCTGTGTCTCTATTGTGGGATAAATGGAGGGCTTGGAGGGCTGGTAGGAGTGTTCTCGAGCTGTTCTCTCTGTCACTTGGCAGCAGTGACCCTGTAGAAAACATCTAGGAAGGCCCTTTGGGTTAATGAGTCCCAACCCTCCAGTCATCTCTCACTGTAGCAATACCCTGTTTTTCCATAGTGATCCTGGAGGCAAGTTCAAGTTTGGACCAGGTATAGTCGCTTGGGTAGAGAACAAGGAAGTGGGAGAAAGAAGTATAGCCCAACAGCACTTCCACTGCCGTTATGGGTAACCCCTGCACACTTCTCCCGTGCCTTTCCGGAGATGTCTCTCACTTTCCTAAAACCATCTCAGTTCAGAAAACCCTCTCTTGATGATCAGGGGCCTGGAACATCTGCCCTATGAGGAGAGGCTGAGGGAGCTGGGCCTGTTCAGCTGGAGAAGAGAAGGCTGAGAGGGGACCTGAGCAGTGTCTAGAAGTACCTCAAGGGAGGCCGTGAGGAGGATGGGGCCGGCCTCTTTTCACTGGTGGCCACTGACAGAACTAGAAGTAATGGCCAGAAACTGAAACACCAAAAGGTCCACAGGAACTTAAGGAAAAATTTTTTAACAGCGAGGGTGCCAGAGCCCTGGAACAGGCTGCCCAGAGAGGTTGTGGAGTCTCCTTCTCTGGAGATCTTCCAAACCCGCTTGGACGCAGTCCTGTGCCACGTGCTCTAGGTGACCCTGCGTGTGCAGGGGGTTGGACTAGATGATCTCTAAAGGTCCCTTCCAACCTCAAGCATTCTATGATTCTATGATTCTATGATTCACAAAGGCACTGTCCTGTTCTCACATGGACCCAGGGGACAAAGGCGCTGTCCTGTTCTCACATGGACCCAGGGGCTGATATGATATGATATGATATGATAACCCAGGGTTATCAGAACTTCATTTTAGAGAAGCTTTTGTGTGGCAGAGACTTTAGGCAAAAAACATCAGTCTATATGTGACCATATGTAACATGTGTCTATGTACACATGCCAACACAATGCGCTTTACAGCAGCTTGGGAGAGGGGTGGACTGAGAGCTGTTCAAGGCTACCACAGGGTTAAGGATACCCAAGGGGTGGTTTTCTTCCCTTCACATCTGACTGTGCTCTTGACTCTTGTTCTACTTCTCCAACCAGCCTTTTGATCAGGCAGAGCCACTCTGTATTTGGCAGCGGCCCTGCCAGAAGTTTATTGTGGAGGGAGGAGGGCATGGACAAAAGCAAAAAAATGAGGGTTTTGCAGCAACCACCGCAGGGGAAAAGGCACCGTGTGGCGCGAGGCAGTGGAAAGCTGCTCCAGTGTCAGGTTGCTGGACACTCCTTTGGACTCCCTTGGAATAAGAGATTAGCCAGTGCCCTCTGAAAACCTCTCCCTGCTGTTGATGCTACCTGCAGGGGATTCTTCCATGGATAGGGGAAGGGGAATACTGAAATGCAGGCTGCACGATGCTGAAAGGAATAACTATTATCTTAAACCTTGCCATTACAGTCAATTACCATTAATGAATCACATTAATTGAGTGTCACTTTTGAAAACCTGCAGATCAGAAATCCTATTTCTGTTGCGCGTAATTGCAGGCTGCTGCGGACGGAGCGGCATGGGCTCGCTCCAAGAGTCCAAGGGAATGTTTCCATTAATTATTCCATGCAGTCATTCATTCCCAGGTCTGGACAGGGTTAAGAGCAGTGCATTATAAGCAGCATGCTGTGTGAGCTGCTTGAAGGCCCTTTCGAGGCTGTAGGCTGACAGGGGCATTCTGTGCACTGCAATGGAGAGCTAGCAGGTGAGAAGACTGAGCTTGGGCTCAGCCTTTGGGCTCATTAAAAGAATAATTCTAAAACAAAAGCCCCATCAAATCTGCCTTTCAGCCCTGGGTCAGCCGGGCAGCACTGTCAGCTGGAAGACCTCTCCTTAAATCATCAGTCCTCGACTAATTGTGAAGGGACATGCAGAGTTCGGATCCCTGCGAAGCCCAGCAAGGAAAGGACCTGCCTACGCTCCAGAGGGGCAGGATCCCATCAGCTCTCGGAAAGGAATCCTCTCTTCTTGTTGCTCTTGGCCGCACAGCTGCTTGCTGGAATGTGTTTAGCTGTCTGGACTTTGTTGCATTATGCAAGCAATCTGTGTAATTTTAGAATTACAAAAAAATATACAGTCCCCATTTCCTCCCATTGATGAAGACCATTTGTGTTTGTATAGTGGGGACAGTCTGCCAGGAAGGAATGCAGAAGGTGAAAATAGGAAAGCGTGGTGTCAGAGTAGCATTTCCTTCCCTTCTATCCATCTTCTGTTTTACCTGGTGAAAGATAACACTGGACTTTTGCTGAATTTTCTGATATTTTGCTCTGTGAGTAAGGAGGCCCATTGCTCATAAATGCCAAGTAAATATTAAACAAAGCAGCCAAAAGCAAGGTTAGAAAATCATATTCTGTGCTGTAGTGTTTGGGAATGTGTGGATGGATGAGAAAAGAAGGTAGAAATACCAGAAAGGTAGCTGCATTGCACTTCCCCTGCTCTCAGATTAGCAGATTGGAAAGGATATTCCCCTGTGTGATCAGAGACACTGTCCTCTCTGGAGAAGAGGATTGAAGAAAAAGGATCAGATCAATCTATTTTAATAGAAGAATGGCCGTGTGAGACAAACTACTGCGGAAAGTTTTGAATTTTCCTTCGGGCCCTGAGGCAAATGGGGAGGGAAAAGTAGTTCCTGAAACTCTCAGGATTATTTTAAGCTGGGACTACATTTCTTGTGATTGGCTTGTATTTATATTTAAGGTACAAGTAGAAGGGGCTGTTTCTTTGAAGGAGGTTTGGGCATAATGTTTCACTCGTGCAAGGGTTTTCCTTACAGTTTGGTGGAAAAATGTTAGCATAAAATGAAGGTAATGAAATGGAGCAAGAGCCCTCACATCATGTTATTGACCAGGCACGTTTTCCCTCATTCCGCCCTCCCTTCCTTTCTTCTTTCCGTCCTCCCTCTCTCTTCTCCTTATTTGCCCTCTCTCTCACTATTAGCTCAGCAAAATGTATTTCTGTTGCAAAAGGCCAGGACTCATGGTTCAGGTCTGAACTTTCTTTTTTCTCTACCAGGACCATTCTAGGAGGCCAAAGAAAATTATCTAGGCAGTCCCAGGGCTCACTGAGTTATTTTCCTCTGTGGCAAACCCGGACAAGTTCCCTGTGTGGAGCTGCCCTCGTGTTTCCTTTGCTCTGTACTTCTGACCTTGCTGTGTGCCATGCCAGTGCCCATTTGTGGGTGATCGGTGCCCAGAAACAGCCCACACAGGACAAGGCTCTGGGGCCCGAAATGAAGGAGCAGAGGCTCCGGCTGAGGCCATGGCTGTCTGTCTGTCCCTATGCCCAAAGATGTCAAAACCCAAAACCAGAGATGGTAACTAGGCTCCCAGGTCTGGTAGCGAAAATCATTCCCATTCTAGGCAAGAAATATGCAGAGTTGGTCTGGGAGAACCAGTCGTTTGGAAAAATATTTGTTCTGAACTCGGTTCCTTCGGGAGTTTGCAAATAATCCGTCACTGGATTCTGGGTCCAGCAAACACCATCATTATACAGTAATTTCACAACACAAGCCAGCCCCTTGGTGGAAGGCTGCTGGCTTCAGCGAGACGCTGTGTGATTTCTGTGGTAGGTCTGATCTTGCCTCACTGACCAGCTAACAGATATTTTCTAAACAGGGGTAGCAGAAGAGGTACATTTCAGTCTGACTCTTGGATGAATAATCAGCCATGCTTAAAATACACGTCTTGTTTTGCTGGTATCATCTGAGCTGCCAAATACTTCATGAACATTTAATAGCAAGGCCCCATTATTCAAAGTAAACTGAATTAGGCTTTTTATCCATAGATCACGGTGACTTCTCACTGTGTGGCCAAGTCCTGCTCTGAAAAAAATAGGCTGCTGCAGGCAGGTGTGGTCCAGCCTCAACTTTAATTCCGTTTAGTTTCCCTTCCGGCTTGTCCTGCTGATGGATGGCAGCCCTAAATGGAAAACTGTTTCAGTGAATGCTACGTTCATCCTATAAGAAAGTGTCCTAGGCTGAACCGACGAGGAAAAGAGGCCAGCAGTGCTGCAATTATTTATCGTGCTTCATGCAGGTGTTGAACCTGCATCCAGCGCTCCCTCCCCAAAGCTGAAGAGCAAGCACATGGCAGAAATACTGAGAAATTGGTGTTTTCTTAGCCCCTCCTTAACAGTGGGAACTTGAAGGAAACCCTCCTGACGCTGCAATTCTGTTGAGCTACAGTGACATCCAGTGGCTGTTCCCGATGGACCTCTTTAGACAGGATTTCTGCCCATACCACTGCACATCTGGCATGGGCAGATGCAGATTTTCTGGTTTGGTGGTTAGGCGGCGTAGAACTGCTTGGGAGCTTGGTACTGACCTCAGAAAGCTTCTGGTTCTTAAAGTAGGCGAGAGATCCCGCATTTGTAACTGCCGATTGTGCTTATTTCAAATCCTTTAGAATTATTTCTGTTTATCCCACGAGAATGTAAACCACATGCAAGATCCCATTAACAATGATTTACTGCAAAAGCATCACTATGTGAGGCATTCCACAGATACACAGCAAAAGCCTCTGTCCCAAAGAACTGTCCTCAGAATAGTTAGGACTGATGAAAACATAGGGTGGGGAAAATCCACAGAGGTTCTTTCAACCTTATTGCTTGTTTTTTAGTAGCAGTCCCGTGTTGCTCTGTTCAAATGTCACATAATCTAGGTAGGACAAGTCTCAACATGTGGAGAATGGGAGCAGTAACCCCAGCAAGCTTCCTATACGGTGGCAGATACAGATGTGCAATTGGCACCTTTGCAATGAATAGTCATAAAAATGCGTTTCAAAGGATGATAGTGCTGCTGTTCTGGTAATCCAATAAGAAAGCTTTATTTATTAATTTATTTTATTCCTAGAGAAAGGCAGGCGTGGCGTGTGAAGCTGTACATGAGAAAGAAGGACTGATGGCTGAGTACGTTGACAGAGCAGTCGCTGGAATGTAGATTAGGCTGGTGGGACTCACTGAGGTCAAGGCAATGAATCAGAACTAGGATCATCAGGAGCAGAGCTTGAACAGAGGTTGAGATTGTGGGATTCATAGCAGGAGGTGGCGGGATCTAGGTTATAGCTGTGCCCTCTTGCCCCTTGTCTCCTTAGAACTCTTAAGTAGTTGTGATTTAGCACAAAATTAGTCCGTGTGTTTAACTCACCCTGTTTTCTATTTCCTCATTCCTTCAGGAACCAGTGAAGACCTATTCCAGGACTCTGAGGGGCGGGAGGGATCTGAGCCAATTGAGGAACACCAGTTTTCAGACCTCGAGGGATCTGACGATGATGATGACAATGAAGATGATGAAGATGAGGAGGAAGAGGAGAGCCAAGATGAGCCATCTTTAAAGTTGCCAGAAGTCACACATACCGCCCTCCCAAAGCTCTCTTCAGTTGGCTCTCTGTCCTCTCAAGAGGAAAGCACCGAAGCAGCATTGTCCTCAGTCCAAGAAACTGTTTCCAGTAGCCAACAAGCAGGTGAAGGCCACCAGGCCTCCTCCTCAGGGCTTGAAACAAAGTGGTCAGCAGACAGCAGTGACATTGCTGTGTGCCATAGCTTCTTGAGTCTCCGCAGACCAGCTTTGACCTCCACGGAACAATTGGCTTCAGCTGAAAGGGAGTCTGTCACAAGACCACAGATGTCCTTAGCTATGGACTTGTCAACCTCAAAAGACACCTCCCCAAGAAAAAGGTGGTCTCCGAGCCAGGACTCTGGCAGAGCTGGTGGCAGCAGCAGACCAATGCTATCAAGAAAGCACCTATTAACCAAAAATGAAACTTCGCCGAAACGATTTTCACCAACTGGAGAACTGTCTTCTCTAAGGTGCCTGTCTCCAGGGAGAGGGTTGTCTCCTTGCCAGCACGTCTCTCCCAGGAGGGAGGCATCTCCACTGAGATGTGTATCACCAAGACTTGAGCTGTCGCCCAGCAGGCATCTTTCCCCAAGAAGAGAGTTGTCCCCAATAACATACCTTCCACCAGAAGGAGAAGTCTCCCCGGTGAGGCACTCTTCTCCGAACAGAGAGATGTCATCAGTCAGATATGTATCTCTGAAGAAAATGTTGTCTCCAGGCCGTTCAGAGTCACCTAGGTATCCATCCCCTGGGAAAGAGGACTTGCCTGGTACTAGCAAATCAGCAGCAGATGACAAAGTTCAAAGCTCATATAAAGCCCAGCATGGAATATTATCTTCAATGCCTCTACCTCATAGGTTCTTTGGCAAAAACATACAGCTCTATGAGTCCAAGCTGGTAAGTTCCAGCCCCTCTTGCCCTCTAGTCATGGTACTACCTTCTCTGGTGTTTTTTAAATGAATGTTGCAATGCAAAAGCTGTCATAGTGATCTAACTGTGATTGACATCACAGTTGACCCAGAGGAAAGTGACAGCAAACAGCAAGAGGTTTTACATTTGCTGTCCTTGCCCTTCTCAGCTGAGGAGAAGTAAAGTTGTCCCTTTCCTGAGGGATTGTTTACTCTCCCTGATCAAATCAGTTCTCAGTCTGCCTGCTGAGACAAGCAGTAAGGATAATCTCTTAATAATGACTGTAGGTGTGCTAAAGAGTCTTTCCCCTGCAAAATTCTGACTCATTTCTTAGAGTTTCTTAGCTGGCATGGACCTCTAACCACAATCAGTGATCATTGACCTGAACCAGATCTGAACTAGTCAAGATGAAAGGTCTTGTACCCTGTTGCTGACCCCCTGTGCTGCCTACACATGCAGTCAACTTTGTTAGATTAACTACTGAGAAATGTTTGTTTGGACATCTCTGATTTCATCTCACTTCTCTCTTCAGCATGGAGAGATGTTTCCCACTGGGTCCAGAAAATTATTTAATCTCTCTGCTGGACATATCAAATCCTATGGGTAAAGGAAAATTTTGTGTTCCTCTCAGCTACAGGCAAATTAGCTGTTGTGTTTTGTAGAACATTAAGAGATCTCCCACTTCCATTTCTACCAACTGACTCTCCTGTAATTTCCACCGATATCATTCAGAAATAACAACCTGCAGTTCAGTTGCGGGAGTTGCTCTGCTATGAAACTGGTGTGAGGAGAGACTCGAACCATTAGGGACTACACTGGGAAGAGAGAGGTCTTTGTGCAACCTCTGGAAGACCTGTAATGGCAGATGCTGAGCCAGGTCTTTCCAGAAAAGCCACGCTGCCCAGTGTGTATCCCATCTGTGTCCGTGGTGATGTGCCTCCTTTTGGTGCTGCCTTTCTTCTGCTTTGCAGTATGTGTGCTAGTCTTACCTTTTCAGAAACCATCAGTTATCCTAGGTCAACACTTTTGCCTATCTTAGTGCTATCTTCCTTTCCTATGGATTGATTTCCTTTGGTGAATCTCAGGGCTGTAGAAGGTATAAAATCAAGTTGTTACTTCTGGTCCTTTAGCTCCAAAAAAATTATATTAGAAATGCTACAAGTAGAATGCTACTACTTGTAGCTAGTCCCCTAAACTCCCTAAACCACATGAGGAGACAGTATTTTCCACCCCTGCTTATCTGCCCATCCATGTGTTTATACTTACACTTTCACGCACATACCTTTTTGCTCCATTTTTCTGCTCTTTTTTTGTGCAGTCCAAGACCCCTCTGTTCCTTTTCTAATGTACTTCCAAAGCAGCAATAAAGATCTGAACGGGAAACTTTCCATTCAGCAGCCAGATGGATCTCTGGAGTTTCACTGCAAAATTATGTTCTTGGTGAGGATAGAAGAAGATGACAGGGGTGTATCAGATCCCTAAATGAAGCTCCCTGGTCACATCTGGTGCCCTGTACATTATTTCAATGCTTATATAATCCTAGCTGTAGTGTAAGGTCTTCTGCTAGGTCTGTGCATCAGGCCTCACTCTCCCTGTCTCTCTTCCCTGCAGTAGGTTGTCTCTCCTCTTGCTGTCTGTTGCACAGTTGAGGTGATCCGTACATGTCTTCCTGGCATCCTCGTGGTGACTTTGTAAGAGTTCATGTGGATGAGTGAGATTTAGCATTCGTTGGAGCTTGCAGGTGCTCCCCAATTAAACACTGTGTTCGGTGGCTCTGCTGCTTTCTCCCTCTACGCTTCTCTTTTGCTGCCTCCCTCTGCCACCTCTCCATTGAGACCCAGCTGCCAGGTCAGCTGGTTGTCCACTGTACCCTACAGAAATATGTTCCCAAGTCGATCTCCAAACACTATAGTGAACCCCATCTTAATGGAAAGTTTCTTTCAGTTCCTGTTGCTTCCTCTTCTTGGAGTCCTGTTTAGAGGCTTAGATAAACCCTCCTCACTAATGAATCCGTTTCTGTTTAGCCACATATCTCTCCATGATGCACAGTAGGAAACTTTGTGATGCACCGAGAGAGAAAGAGGAAAAGGTAAAAAAGATTGGGTCTTTAACCCTTGATTTTTGGAGCCCACACCCTGAGGGTGGTGGTGGGTGCCGCAGCAGTGAGTGTGCTGTGTGGAAAATTAATATTATCTATCACTGGGACCACAGGCTCAGTTCAAAACGTCTTTGCAATGAGCAGCTGTAATGCTGTCTTAAGGAAAGACAGTAAGAATAAATAGCGTTGTTCTAGACTCTAAAAAATAACGATATACTGAAGCAGATCTGAAGTGGTTCTGATCACAGGAGATACTGGGGTTCTCTGCAGGAGGTTCAGAGCGACTCTGATAATGAGCCAAGCCCAAATCAAAACTCTGGATCTCATTCCCAAATAGATCTTGTGCCTAATTGCACTTAGAAGCCAAATCTTGTGGGTGGTGTCACTCCTTACCCTAAAGGGGTGGGGGTCCAAATCCTCCCCAGTTGGTCGGTCTCCCTTCAAATTAGAATAAAGTGCCAGTGAAACCCATCGGCAGTTCTTCATAATGTGCATTGATAATCATGCTGTAATTCATGCATCGTCCTGATGTGGCTGTTTTCTTTCCCTGTCTGATGCAGAAGATAGAACCCAGAAGCCCAACATGCTCACCTGGCGTCACGCAGCCCGTCTGCTCCAGACCCTTGCAGGCACCTCACGAAATCCACCTCCATGCTCCCAGCCGCGGGGAGGAGAACGTCTTCAGCCATCTCCCGTTGCATTCGCAGCAGCTAGCAAGGACCCCGTACCCGATGATTCCCATTGGGGGCATCCAGATGGTCCAGGCGAGGCCAAGCAGCCATCCCAGCTTGGTGCCCGGTTCGGTCGTGTCCCTGCAAGCGGGATATTTTGCAGCTGGTGGCAGCAGCTTCGCGGAGCTGGGCCAGACGCATGGAAGGGATGAAGAAGCGCCGGTCCGGCGAGCGTCTTCACCGGCATCCGTCTCCCCGGTCGCAAAGGTTTCCAAATACGCGTTGTCCCCGGAGCGTACGAGCAGCGGTTACTTGGAGGAGAAAACGAGGACTAGTGAGCTTCAGCAAAAGACAGATGAGGAGGAATACAGGGTAAAAATGTTCGCTGAGTCTAGCCACGTGAAGCAGGCTCCCCCGGAGGGCCCCAGCACGGATTATGAGCCCTCTCCAAAGCCTTCCACGAGCGGGGAAGAAGCCGTGAAGAAAACGGTCCAGAAGCAATGTGGCAGCTCGAGCACTTCTTTGGAATCATCCCGCACTTTCATCTCAGATGTCCCCTCCCAGGCGCTGGACAGGAGCAGCAGTGCCGGCCGCCTCCCGGAGCCCTCCTCGAGCCATCCGCACTCCCAGCCCTTCTCCGGCAGGAGGAGAAGCCTCTCCGGAGAGCCCCGTCCCCAAGGAGGAACCCGCGGGAAGAGCAGCCCGCACGTCGAGCACGCAGATTTAGGTCAAACTCAAAGACAGGTGGATGAAAAAATGGGAAGTACTTAAGCCTCCACCATCAGTTCCACCTTTAGGCTTCCTATGTAAAATCAACAGACATTTTCAACACTATTTCCTTTAGTATAATCATCGCTATAAAGAAGCACTCTAGTGAATGACCAAACCCATGGAAGATTCCTGGTTTTCTTTGTCCCAGTCTGGTATTATCTCCACATGTATGCAGTTACTTGTGCCTTTTTCTATACCTTTTGTTGCTTGAAATGTACAAAAATGTTTGAGGCTGTGAATATTTTTTTAGAGTTTTTTGGAAAGGGGGTTTGTTAGACCTTGTCTTTTTTGCCATTTAGGTGTGCGTTATTATGGGCCTGAGAGATGCGGAAAGGAAAGGGTAAAGCATTTTAAGAGGAAGAAGATGCACTGAAAACAAAAACAGAGAAAAAAACTTTTTTTTATATTGATTAAATGATTAAAAAAAAGAAACCAAACCCTTGCTCCTGTGTACAGAAGTTTATGATTCATATTTATTACATGCTTTATTTAATTCTCGCAAAGTGCTTGTTTTTTTTTCTCGCATCCCTCTGATTGCCTATCCTTGTGCTTTAAACAGTTGAGACTGCTTTACATTTGAAAGAAAAGAAAACAAAAATGTGTTTATCCTGAATTTGTAAATGAAACTAGCACTTCCTTTAGGAGGGGAGGTTTGTTCGCCTGCCAGAGAAATTGCAACGTGAGCAAGCGGATCTCGAGCATCCCTCCTGCCTGCAGAACCCATTGCAGCACTTTTTTTTTTTAATATTAAAAAGGATTAAAAAAAAAAAAAGGGGGACAAAGATGGTTCTTCTTCAAAGATTTGCCTGCGAGAACGTAGGAATGTATCGAATGTAGACCCAGCGCTGGGAGCGGTGCCTCGCTGGAAGAGCCGTCCTGGCGCTTGCTTTAACCCGGGCGCACGGCGTGCCGCGCATCGCCCTGTGGAGTCATGCCTGTGCCTGCGAGCCCCTGTTTTCTGGGGTTCAGAAGCCCTCTGCAAACACCCTCCCTTGGTGCAAATAGACCCCCCATCCCCAGCCTTTCAAACGTTTTTTCTCCATATTCTTATTTTTTTTGAGTTTTGGACAAGCTGCCCCCCAGCGCATCCCCGCGTTGCTTTGGGTGAGCAATGCACACCTGCGGCTCTGTAATGCGCAAGGGTCTCCGTGTCTTTATTTTATTCTTATTTATTTATTTAAAATGCGATGTTGCAAACATAGTCCTTATTGTGCAGGAGGGCCTTTTTTTTGGGGTTTTTTTTATGTTTTGAGGTGAAAAAGTTACAATGCTGAGTGCTTAGTGTTTGAAATCGGCTTGTTCTGCATGCACAGTAACTTTTTCCAGAGCAGATTTTTTAAGTACGACCATCCTTAAGCGGAGCAATGGCCTCTACTGCCAATAGATACGGTACCAAATACAGAGAGACTCAATGGAGTCATTCCTCTCTGTCACGTTAACACACTTTTTAAAACACAGATGTTCATTACGTGTTTGCCCTATTAGACAGCAGGCTCTTTACTATTTCAGAGGGTTTTCTGGTCTATAGAATCTGTACAAATACTTTTTTATTTTAACAAAAAAAAGAAGAAAAAAAGATTATAAATATTTAACCAGTGGACCAGTTCTTTCTTCTTTCAGAGCTGTTCCAGTTTATCGGGTACGTAATAAACTTTTTAAAAAAAATAAAAGAAAAAATAAAAAAATAAAAGAAATCAGATAAAACCCTGAATGAGAACATATTTCCTTGGCAGACTTGATGAGCTATGAACTGTTCCCGTTTCACGGGCAAATAATATAGATTTTTTAATAATCTGTGATTTTTTTTCTTTTGTTGTTGTTCATTTCTTGTAAAGGGAATTAAGTGCAAAAGAAGATATCATGGAAATAACATTAAGGTTGTGACACTGACCAAAACAATATCCAGAACCCATTTGCTCCCATAATTAGCACTTTTATCAAGTTCCCTCTCTTCTCATTTCTCCCTGTTTTGGCCCCAAGCTTGCAAGCAGGTCCTGCCTTCAAACCCAGCCAGATCCTGTGGCAGGAGCATGGTCTGCAAGTTCGATTTCATCTAAAAGCTCCATTTGGTAAAATTCACAAGCACTAGGTTAAATCCTACTCCTTTTGATAGGATTTAAGTGTATGCTTAACTATAGCAATGACTGTTCTGGGGAGCATCCTCAGAAACCATCTGCCTCTCCAACTATGGTGCCAGGTGTGAATTTGCTGCTTTCTGCCGCTTTTCTGCCCTTTGTCACACTCTTAACATTATTCCAAGGTAGCTTTTGTGTTTAATTTACATATATATATATATATAAAAGCATATATATATATGAAATATATATTATACATATATATATATTTTATATATATATATAGGTCCTGTACATAAAGTAATGCAGCAGTTGTGCACTCAGTGTCCTGCTTTTATTAGATGTGTTCGACATTAGCTTTGGGCTAGATCAAATCTGCTCAACTCCCTTCCGTAACTCTGTTTTCATCCTTGACCTGCCGATACTTGGCCTGGTTGTGGTTTTATTATTGTTATTTTCCCTGTTTGGGGGTTTTTCGTTTTTTTCCCCAGCAGCTCAAGCTGAGCCGAGGTTTCCACACCGCAGGGGAAGGTCGTGCAGTGCTCCTAGTGCCGGGCCTGCTCCCAGCGCATCCCAACCCCAATATCCCGGTTTTGACCCCGTTCCCGGTGGAGTGGCTGCTGGCGCGGCGGGGAGAAGCTCTGGCTGGGGCGCAATGGTGCTTCATGCTGTTCCGGGGGCAATACTCTGCCTACGGCCAAGGCAGAGGGGATCCCAAATACGGGAGTGATCCATAAGGGCTAATTATCACACTGGCAGCTCGGAGCTCCCGAGGACGAGTATCCTCTCCCGCTGCCCCTCGAGGTGCCCTCCCAGCCCCGCTGGAAACCGCAGCATCACCTTGAGCCCAGGGCCCCCAGGGAAGGGGGGCACCGATTTCCTAGCTCTTGCCCCAAAATCCTGGTGGCTTTTCCCTTTTATAGTCCCCGAAGCTACTTTAGAGGAGCAAGCACTTGGCATGAGCCACTTAAACGGCACGGCTTCTGTAATATCACTCTGACTGCCTGTTCCAGCTGGAAAACAGAGATGCTACAGCCTGATTTACCTAATTTTACATGGGTGCTGCAGGGGCAAGCGAGTTTGACACTTTGCAGTGGCACTTGGCAGTGCTATTTTGCAAGAGAATGCATGAAAGGGGCAAAATTGAAAACCAAAGCTCAGTCCTTGCTGTGCATTGGCAGGTGAATCTTCTTTTCTTCTGAGGGAGGTTTAGCATTCCTGAAGGCACCTGGCTGCGCCTTGATTTTTGGTTATGTAACTGGTTAATCAGGCAAAACCTTCCGATATTCCGCATCCCCAGTAAGCTGCATGAGCAGCTCCCCATGAGTGCAGGTCCTTCATGGCAAGCAGATGTTCAAGGACCCAGAAGCCTTTTTGCAAGCAGGACTTGGCCCTCACGGTTAAATCTGTGGAGCCATTGCATTAAGGACCAAGCCTTGTACCCCGAGCTAACACAGCACTTATGTGGGTTTAAACTTAAGCATTTCAGGAGCTTCAGTGATTTATTTCGTGCTTTGAGTATGAATTTAGCTGCTTTTTTTTTTTTTTGTCAAGGTTATGGAGCTCAGCGCTTTGCAGGACTGAGCAGACCCTGGGAGGAGGAAGAGGAGGAGGAGGAGGATGAGAGCAGGAGAAGGAGGAGAAGGAGAAGGAGGGGGAGAAGGAAAAAGAGGAGGAGGAGGAGGAAGGGAGTAGCTGGCTCCCAAACTCGCCCCAGTGCCTTGACACAGATCTCCGTCAACTCTAATTACTCGCAGGTTGTTGGCTGGATACCCAAGGATCGCTACAGGAAACTCTTAAAAAAAAACCATTGATGAAGTAGCTGCGACTTTGCAGCCGAGGACTGGAGAATGTATTTCTGCACCTGGTCCTCAGGGGTGACGTTTTCCAGCCGCTCAAGTCGTGCTCCTCTATCGGGGCTTGGGGCCTTGCAGGTAGAAGCAGAGGGTTTGTCACAAGAGCTGCTGGTGTCCAGGTCCTGCTGGAACCACCACCAGAGCCCGACCATGGGCACGGACCACCACTTCTCCCCGCATTTTCAAATCAACTCTCACCAAAACAGTGATTAAAAATCCACAAAATAGTTGATTTTACCTTAAGACATTTTGCACTTAACCCTTTTTTTCTTTCCTTTTAAATCTACCAAACTAGCATCTGAAAAAGCAATATACTCGGTCACACGGATTTCATTAAAATTACTCCAATGTTTTATGCCAAATCCTAAACAGTTTGATCTAGCCCTTTTCTGGTGTTCTGGCAATAGTTTTTTGTTTTGTTTTGTTTTTGTTTTCTCCTTTCACTGATTTGGTTTCATCATGTGCTTTTTTTTTTTTTTAATATCTCCATCTATTGCACAGTATTTACGAATAAAAGCATATTGTAAATTATTTGCAAAAAATAAAAATAAAAAAGAATTAAAAAAAATCAGTCCTGGTGGCATAAAACCAATCTGTTTTCATTTCTGAGATATGATGGCACTTACGATCACTTTAGTAAATGTAATGTAAAAATAATAATAATAATAATAATGTGTACGCAAATTTAATATACATGGTCTCATGTAAGATAAATATTTGCCTTTTTTTCTAAAAGGTGTATGTATTCTGTAAGTGGAATAGTCTGTAGAGAGTTTCTATATGTTCTTAAAATGGCAATACATTCCAAAAAAGGTACTGTAAATATGTACAGCATACAATGTAATTTGGTAGTTTTGCCTGTAATTTTATTTTAACTCCAGTTTCTACACTTGCATCTTGCAATGTCTGTATGGTTATATCAGTGCAAAAAAAAATGCAGGTAAAAAGCACAGTCTGATGTAAAAACAAAACAAAACAAAAAAAACACAAAAAAACACACACACACAAAAAAAGGAGAAGAAAAAAAGTACTCAGTATTTGATGTTTGTGACCCTAATTGTAAATGACATCTGTACTGTGAATGAGAAGTTTTTACAAGTATAATATTGCCTTTACTACAGCTCAGCCTGTCTGCTCAGCCTGGGCATATTTTTAAAAAAACAGCATGTTGGAATAAAT